CACACACACACACTCGCTCACACACACACACTCGCTCACACACACACACACACTCGCTCACTCTCACACGCACACACTCACACTCACACGCACACACACACTCACACTCACACACTCGCTCACACTCACTCACACTCACACACACACTCACACACACTCACTCACACACACTCACTCACTCACACACTCACACACTCACACACTCACACTCTCACACACTCACTCACTCACTCACTCACTCACACACAAATCTTACAGTGATTACTATATGAGTGTGCCAATTTTCATAAAATATTAATGCTTAATCTATGTGCAAATTCAGATTCTATATTTTGGTACCAAAAAAATCTAAAATATTGTGCCTTTAATGACAATGTACAAGACTTACAACTTAAAATTTCCAATTTACAGTAACAGGCCTGTAGTATTTTCTTTGTAAAGTTCTATGTTACAGATGCAAGTATTAAATAAAATAAAAAAAATTGACACCTAAACATAAAAATGTCGTAATTTAATATTATTCACCTATTATCACATTGCGAATCCAAACAAATCGGGTAAAAACTTGCAGTGTTTTGCACGACTCTACAGAAAGACCACAGGAAAGCAAGTTAAATTAAATGATTATTTAACTGACCTGCTCTTTCCATAGCAGGAAAAACCAGGAGTAGCTCAAAAAAAGTTTAAGAAGAAAGCTCACTGATATTCTTACATAACTTCCTGTGATGCAGCTCTCTTTAAGTCTAAAAGGAAACACAACACATTATTTTAAACTACATTTTAGCTATACAGCTTTAAAATGTGTATTGCCCTTATTGGCCAACATCTAAACTGCTCATGTAAAACGCTTCAGTGATATTAATATATTAATCATAGATGCTACTGTTCTAGATTTCTGTAGCATCTCTACTCATAACCTGCTGTAAAATGTGCCAGTCGGAGGCTTTCCTCCACAGATCTGTATACTGTCCCCGTCACTGGACCGAGATCAGTTTTGCACCTTCATCTCCAGCATTTGAGTGGGGTTTGTATTCAGTGCAAGTTCAGGTCAATCACATGTGGAAGATCGACTGAAATTCATTGAGTAAGAATTCTACAATCTGGTTCTGGAAGACCATGTAAGTGGTGATGTTTGCCGTCTCCACCTCTGGTTTGAGTAACGTTGGGCCGAAAACGATAGCCACGTTCTGCACAGTCATTCTGTTCTCATCACCATGTTGAATGACCCTGAAAGAAAGAGACATGCTGTAGATACATACAGTAATATTTATAAAAATATGTATGTAAAATAAAAAAACATACTTGCGTAAATGGCTAAAGAGGGCCTCCATTGTTTCACGGTTGGGTGGTAGCAAAGACCGCACCAGATTTCTCATGTGTGCTATTTTATTGTAATAATCAGGGATTTCTGTATCAAAACACAAGAAAAATAATAAATTAAGTAAAATTATCTTTCTATAGATAGATAGATATATAGAAAAAAGTTTTAAAATGAATGAAAATTTATGAAAATGTTTGTAGTTTAATGCATTTCTGTAGTTTAATATAATTTCCACCACAAATTATTTTATCAGCATAATAATCACATAAAAAAACAGTTTTTTGGAGTCAAAAAATCGTTTTTTCACAAATAAATGTGAAAATTGTTCTATTTTGCATTTTTAGAGTTTAATTATTATTTATTTTTAACTACAAATGATATTATCAGCATAATAATTATATTAATATTGTACAGTCAAAAAGTCAGAGAAAAAAAATTATATTTTGCATTTTTGTAGTATATTGTTAGTATAATGGCATTAAATAAAAATAATTTAATGAAATTTAATTAAATAAAAATATCAATATTGTTAAATAAGTAATAAAAATATCAATATTGTGGATTCAAAAAGAGAAAAAATTATTAAAAAAATTCTATTTTGCATATTTTTTGTATTTTGTATTTTCACTACACATTATATTATCAGCATAATAATTATATTGAATAAAAATATGAGTCAAAAAAAGAAAATTGTAGTTTAATACACTGTTACACTATTTATACACTATTTTCACTACAAATCTGTATTATCAGCATAATAATTTGGGGGAAGAACTGAAAAATTAACAGATTTCAGAACGTCTTCTTTTATTTTTAGAAAGTATTAAGCGTGTCCTCTTCTTGCTTTTGTATGTAAGCAGCACTTGAGCTGCATAAACTCCACAAGTCTGTGTAAAATCTGATGATCATGTTATCTAGCTCAATTTAAGAATCAAAGCAAGGACATCTGACAAAAGAGTTCACAAATATCAGTGTCGGAAATGTGCTTTTATTTAGCCATTGAAAACCCCACACTGGAAACAGCTAGAGCCCAACTCTCATGTTTCTATGTACAGTCCATTCAATCGGGATCTTACTGATGCCATTGATGAAATCATTGAAGAGATTGTAAGGGAAGAGAGGCTCCTGCAGCTCTCTGAAGAAGAGCTTCAGCGCTCCTGTGATCACATGGATGTCCCAGTTCCCCTCCTCCAGGTCCAGATCCTCTGGAGAAACACACAGAGAAACTCACGAGTCAGTCAGAGGAGCTGACCAAATATGAGAAAAAAAACTAAACAGAATGTGACAATAATAAGTGGTGCGTCCCCTCGCAAGAATTCTATTTCTAGTGTTAGCATTAAATATAAAAAGTCTTATTTCTTAGAAAATGAATAGCACATCTCCCACATGAGTTGAGGTGTCACTTATCCACTGTCCAGGACAAATTACACACCAATAAGTGTAATATTTAAGTTGCAGCTCTTATTATGAGCAAATGTAATAGTGAAGAAACTAACAAGCTATAATAGAGAGTATGAAATCCTGGTGCAGACATGAAGTAAAGACCAAGTAAACTGAACTGATGAAGCGTAAAATGCATCCTGATGAATTTTACCATGATCTGCTTTGAAACGCAGTTTCTGGATGACCGCCAGATTCCCACTAACTCTGTAGAGTCCATCGATCCCCAGACCTGATGGATAACAACAATAAAAATCAGTTCAGGCAGATTTATTAAAACGCTGCATTTTTAGGTTATTTTGCCTTAGCAGTCTAACAGTGCTCGTCAATGTCAAAATGACTGAGATGGCCAATCAAATCAAAGTAGGCGGGCTTTAGACAGAAAACAAACATGAATTCCGGTGTGACACTTCAGTTTTTAATGATTAGAAGACTGTGAGGTCAGATATAAGTAACTAAATATTTAATACTTGACAACTACCGCCATAGTAATGTTAAACAATGCACAGCAATACCCAGTGATGAAAACTAAAAATTAAATCCTTTAATTATTCACTTCATTTAAAAGGTTCCTATTATGCTTTTTTACAAAGTCTTGATTTTGTTTAGGGGGTGTACTAGAACAGGCTCTCATACTAGGTTGTCACATATTTTACATTATTACAATACCGTCTGCCTTGGGAAAGCTAGCGTGTCTCCGACATAGTGATAACACTCGCTGCCTTCTCTAGTGCAGCTCAACCAGGTCTCGTCCCATTTGTCAATATTTGTGATATCACAAATCCCGGAAACATATGCGTTGTAGTCCAAACGAGTCGTTCGTTGTAGTTTTTGAAAAGTGATTTCTGTTAAATAAAACGTCTCCTTTTGAAGTGGACTTTGAGCTTTGTAACTTTGCAGATCTTTTTTATGCTCAAACAGCAACATTACAGACTGACTAAAGCTGAAAAAGTGAAAAAGCATAATAGGACCCCTTTAAATAAAAAGACCATCAAAATTTCTCCCCAAAATAAAATAAAATAAAAGGTTCCCTCCCAATGCTCCTGACATGGTTCTGGTCTTGATATTTAATTATATAAATTATCGATCCAAAGTCAATTTCAATAAACAACATGTTTGGCAGTGGTGTAAAAGTAACACACCTCTTTTCTCTACTGTCCGGATGCATTTCTCCACAAAGCTGGGCACTCTCGTCTTTTCTTGGCTGCAAAGATTGTGCAAGTGACATCCGAATACATTTTCTGTGGGAGAAGGATCAAAGGGTCACATTAGAATCATTAGAACCCAAATCTTCTGTACAAGCAGCAGGAAATGGATGAGGGAAAGCGGTGGGCGACCTCTGATATATCCTTTGTCTTTGACCGACTGCAGGGTGGGCCGCTTGAGGAGAAACTTCTTCAGTTTGGTACGGACCTTCTTCTGATCTGCTTCAGATGTTGAAGTGGATGAAGGATGACGAGATGCTAATGACCAAAAAGAGGCATTTGTACACACATTTTCTGTGCTTTCAGCATTTTCTGTTCAAAACATTTTGAGTATCTTTAGTTTTTTATTAATGGATTAAATTTACTGTAATTATTTATTTTGTTAGGGGAAAAACAGACATTTTTCAAAATATCTTTTTTTGTGTTTAACAGAAGAAAGAAAGCCATTCAAGTTGCTCAATAACATGAGGATTTACATTTTTGGGTGAACTATTCCTTTAACCCTTTGCTGGTCTTTGATCATTTTTAAATGAAAAAAGTTGACGAATTTTTTTAACATTTTGATCATTGCAATAGAACAAAACTTGGTGCCTTTATTGGCACTTGCTATGTTTGGTACTTGCTGTTGCAATCATTATTCTACATTTCTGTTTCTTAAATTTCTGTCTTGCTTGCCCCTTTATTATTTATTTCTGTTGTTATTATTGTACTGCTGTAGACTGCCTAAGTCTTACAAAAAGCATTTCAATGTACATTCTGTCACTGACACTTGTACATATGACAAATAAAACTTGAAACTATATAAACAAACATGCACACACAAACTTGTTTCTGTGAATTGTGGGGACTTTCGATAGACTTCTATTACTTTTATACTGACCAAACAATATTTTCTATCCCCTAAGCCTAAACCTACCCCTTACAGAAAACCTGTTTGCATTGTTACACTTTCAGATAAACATCATTTACTATTTTTAATAATTTTCTCCCTCGTGGGGCCCGCAGGTCAGTCCCCACAATGTCAAAAATTTCAGGTTTTACTATCCTATGCTCCACAATGTAGCATAAGTACACACACACACACACACACACACACACACACACACACACACACACACACACACACACACACACACACACACACAAATAGAAAAGTTTAAATAGTTAAAAAAAAGTTACACTGATCAAAAACGATCACCATATAAAATGGAAATTGGAAATGGAAATGATATGAAACTATAAAACATATACGATACATTACTTACATTACATAAAAAATAAAAAGTTACACTTATTACACTTATACTAGAGGGTTAAGACTCATTTGAAGCACTACCATTGCTCATAGTTCTTTTGTCGAAGGGTCTGTCCTCTCTGTCTATGCTTGAGGACTTCTCAACGACTTCCTCCTCATCCTCAGAGTGGTGTTGTTCGGCATCCTGACGCAGATGAGCAACGCAGAAACACACAATTGTAGATTATGCAGAGAAAAACATAACCAGGTTTTGACAATGTTCATTTTTGGACTCACCAGCTGGCGTATGGTGTCTGTGATGATCTTATACCAGTCAGTGATGATGCTCTCAGTGTCGTACTGGATCAGGTACTCCACGCCAGTGCGACTCTTAAGCTGAATGAATAATGAATAAACACACATGGAACGTCAAGAAAACACACATAGGTAAAGTACACAGAATGATCATCCAGTGCTGTAACGGCCATACTTCCAAAACATTTTTCTTGCTTGATTTGTCCTTGTTTGCCCGGTTAATTGTTGCTCCTTTCAGCTCCACTGTGAATTCTGGGACTATCTGATTGGTTTTGCCCTACGTAATATAAAATGCATTTAGTGTTGTGAAACAAAAATGAAATAATGCAAATTCCACATTTGGGGGTTTGTTTCTCACCGATGCTCCAACTGGTGACTTTGGATCCTTATGGAATGTCAGTATTCCTCCATGGAGAACCGTCCAGGAATTACTCCAGTTCTTCCTGTGGGACGATTGGTATACATATGGACATAACAGTTTTCACGGAAACACTTTACAATAGTGTCCCATTGTTGAATGATAGTTAATGAGTTAACTAACATAAAAAAACAACAATGAGCAACACATTTGACGTTGTTATTAATGCTATAGTTAATAAAAATACAACTGCTCATTGTTACAGTAGGTCCATTAAATAATATTAACAGATATCATTTTTTATTTGAATGCATTAACACGTGTTGAAATTTCTACTAACTGAGATGAACTAATGCTTTGGAAGTATTTTTCATGTTAATGTTATATAAACATCAGTAACTAAGGTTAGCTAACTGAACCTTATTGTAAAGTGCTACCATTTTCACCAATATAGTTATAGCTATCAAACCACTATCACCACTGATTTGAGTTCACGATGGCTAACTTTACCTAACTTTCTTCCCGTTTTCAGACACCTTGGTTTTGTTCAGGATTCCAACCTTTTCCAAATTTGAAACCTAAAAAGAAATTCATTCATGAGTTAATACAGCAAACGTACAGGATAATGTCTGATATCATGAACGTAAAGTAAATGATAGCCTTTAATGTTCACCTTAAAATGTCAAGCAGAAAATGTAGATTACTGTTTTACCCTTTTAAGTGTAGTACTGGTTTAGGAGCAAATCACTAAACAAGCCATTTTACTCTTTAAAATGTGCATATAATAAAATCACAAGTATCCACAGATAAGAAGTGTTTTTCAGCACAATGTCAAGAATAGTTGGAGCTAAAACCCCTTGACCACAGTAAAACCATGATATTAATGTTCATACTATCTGAACATTTTCATGCTTTATAGCCATATTTAGCAGTTTAGAGCTAAGATAGTTCATATTTTGCTTTTTTATGTGAGTAAATGCGGATAAAATTGGACAAACTTATATATCCAACATTATATAAAGAGCTGTGCAACAATATAGCCATACTTTGTGAAGATATAAACGATAGACAATATATCACACAGTTGAGATTTGCTAGTATAGTACACATGCTATTGCTGTCAAACGATTAATCGCGATTAATCGCATCCAAAATAAAAGTTTTTGTTTACATAACATATGTATGTGGGCTGTGTTTATTTATTTATGTATATATAAATACACACACATGCATGTATATATTTCAGAAAAATAGGTTATGTTTATTTATTAAATATATTTATATATAATATAAATTATATGAATAATACATGCAAATATTTTCAAAATATAGAGTGTATGTGTGTGTGTATTTATGTATACATAATAAATATACACAGAGCACACACATATATTATGCAAACAAAAACTTTTATTTTGGATGCGATTAATCGCGATTAATCGTTTGACCGCACTAATACATGCTTATATACACTGCAAAAATGTAGTAAATAAAACAAAGATTATTGGAGTACATTCACGTTCAATTCAATGTATTATTTGCTGTTTCTTTGTAGTTATTTGTGAAATTTAATAGGAGTTTGAACAGTAATGATAATACTATTGTACTTTGATATTTGCCATGGTTCTGAATAATTAATTTAATGTAACTCGAAGATATTTCAAAGAATATTATAGTACTACCCAAGTAAATGTCAAGAAAGACAAAAAAAAAACACAAAAAGCACTGCCATGATATCATGTCCAAAACTCATGGTATCAAATATCATGATACATTTGGTACTTGCATATTTGAGTAGAAGGCAGCAATCAGGCTGCAAGTCTCACTAGTAACCACCAGGGGACAGTGTAGTAAAATAATATTGCATGCACGTGACTATCTGCTGATTTTGACATCACATGTTTTGTAATCTTAGATCTTTCTTCATGTGTTTACAGTGAGTATTGGTGATCTGTTTGGTCTGCACAGACTGTTTTAAACGGGTCATTCTTCTAGTCATAATCTGAAACCTTCGATTAGACATCGCTCCACTAGTCCTAACCTGCATAAATACTTTTACTCAGCATGTATTGTGTAACTGTATAATTATATTCTCCTGTGCAACTTATGGAACACCTCTATACTGGCATTACCAAACCCAACACTTACCATAGAAGAGAGAGAAAAACATTTCAATAATGATTTGGCATGTCTACTCATCAGCTCACATGATTTTAGCTATAATTCATGCCAGTAAGCACATTATGAGCATAAAATGATCACATGTATAATGCCTAAACACAGTGCATTCATTCAAACATTTTACTGTAAAATTTAAATTTAAAAAGGCATAAATGTTTGATGTAGAGTCTTACATTATGTGGCATCTCAAGAGAGCTGTAGGCGTCGCTGTCTGGTGTATGCTGAGGATATGATGAGTGACTTTTCTGTTAAGAGAAAATAACATGTAAATCAGCACAGTAATATACTAGACTCTCAAAAAAGAGCAGCAGTTTTCCTTTTTATTACACCACTACATTTTTCCATTGCATAATGCCCTAGAAAAGACCATTTAACTTTGGTCAAAATATTGAATTTTCAGTGCACAGCTACATTTGTCCATTGCACACCAAGGTAAACACCATTAGTAATACAGTAGAGTATGCTAGTGTGTTCATAACTGAATTGATCTCCATGGATCAGTTCAGTGAAAACAGGATAAATGTTGAGTTTATGTTTGCATGTTGAAATGATAGGATCTCAAATACTGGGTGGGTAGGAGGGATGTAAATAGAGCAGCTCTATAACCAACGGAGTCTCAGGTGCTTTCTAGGGACTATTTAGGAAACATAGTCATTAAGGACACGCGAGAAGGATCAGGTGTGCATCACATGCGTCAGGGCATCACTCGTTGTTTATGAGTGTGGGTGAGCTGCTGGATCAACTAAACACATGCAGTGCTAGAAATTAAAAGAAAATGTGTGTGAGTACATACATCTTCCTGGTATCCTGCACTGTGCCTCCAGTTCTGCTTGGATCCCATTGTATCCTGCTCTATTGAGGCCCCATTTCCCACTCCATACTGTGTGATAATATGAGTGAGAGAGAATTTGTATTCAGAAATGGTACATTTTTTTTGTACTTTTTTGAGCGCATTAGTACACCGTAAAAATGATTTTTCAAAGGTGTTATTGGAGAACGTTTAGTCTTTCTAATGCAAAATTCCAAGTTTAATTCAATTTGTTACTTGCCTTTTCTTTGTGACATTTACTAGCAATTTCTGAGTGAAAATTGTAAAAGTAAATCCTACACCGTTTTTTTGCTATTGTATTAATTACCAGCCAATTTTACAAAAGGAAAACAGCAACATGGACATTCTGCCAAATATATAATTTTGTGTTTTCACTTCATCTAGAAAATAATTTGGTGTCAGACCAACATGAAAGTAAGCCCCAGTTTCACAAATTTTCAGGTGAACTATCCCTTTAAGACAGTGCTTCTCAGCAATCTTTCAATGGATCCTTAAGAAGAATGATTAAAATATGATAAAACAGCTAGATATTTCACAGTTTAGTTTACTCCTTGACAGCCAGGATTCCCATGGTCATGGAAAAGTCTAATTATAAAAGTATGATTTCTAGACTTGAATAAGTTAGGAAAATGAAAGCCTTGCCCATTTTTATACATTTTATTAACATACATTTTTCTAGTTATTCCAGCTCAAAAAAATTTTACTGACAGGAATAAATTGCGAGCAAACTAAAAATTATTATCCCTCATGTCATTCCAAACCTGTATGACTTCCTTTCTTTTACTGAACACAAAAGAAGATATTTAGAAGATTGTTGGCAACCAAACTGTTTAGCTTCCCTTCGACTTCCATAGTATGGACAAAAAATTTTGAATTTTGTGTTTTAGAGAAGAGAGAAAGTCAGACAGGTTTGAAACGACACATGGGTTAGTAAATGATAACAGACTTTGAATTTTTGGATGAACTATCCATTTAGTCCCTAACCAGCTTGATCACAAAAAGTCATGGGGCCTTTAAATAATGTTATGGATGACGGGGGGGCTTTGGACACAAAACTTTGAGAACCACTGCTTTAAGGCCTGTTCAATAACTATAAAGTTTTAATAATCATAATAATCAAACGATATCACTGAAAACAGACCTATTTCTTCCAGCTGATGAATGATAAAAACATCAACAGCCAATCAGAATCCACCCAACTTTAAAGACTTCAAGCTTTTAAAGAAGCAGACAGCATAACTGCATGAACAGGCCTCAGGTGGACTCTCCAAAATGTGCTCACTGTACCTCAGGTAAGTTCCACTGGGACTTGCTGCCGTCTCGAAGGTAGTAGTACGTCCGTCCTCGATCATCTAGCGACTTGATCCACTGTCAACAAGATGCTTCATTAAGTTCACCAAATTACAAATCTAGCCTACAGCCATACCATCGTACACCTCACTAATAATAGCAAGCTAATCGGCCCAAATAAGTAGTAAGCCAGCCCAAAACAAGGACACGCTGAGGTCAGTGTCGAGTGTCCTTTACCTGTTCCTGCGTGTAGTCGCTCGTGAATACCCAAGCCCCTTCAGGGTCGATGCTGAGGGTCCAGCCTGGTGGGACGCTGTGATCCAGACTGGCCCTGGGGATCGAGACCTTCTTCACATGAATCAAAGAATACTCTGCTGGCATTGAGAAAGGAGACGCTTCTTCCTCCAGATCTGGAGATGCTGGGTAGTCTTCCTCAGGAAGTGGTAGCTACGTTTTGGGGAGTAAAGAAGACAATAAAAACATTATTAAAACTCCTTTTATGTAGTTTTTAAAAAAAAATTCCATAATGGAAATAAAACTTATTATTAACCTTTTTTTGGCAGAAAAGGGCAGTGTTTGAGAAACCTTTTTGAAAATATCATTGCAATTTATTCATTGCATTATTTTTGCATTTTCATTTGTCACATACATTACAAATTAAAATTTGAATGATACTATTTGTAATGTAACTCTAGTCAATATAATACTTTAGTCTACTATTAACAATTGATTAAATCTAAGGAGAAAAATAATGATTGAACAAGCAATAAAATAAGCTAAACCACCCTAAAAAAAACTATGATGAATTAATAGAAAAAATATTTAGATTGCAAAAATAATGCAATGAATAAATTGCTTAATAACTGTCTTGAAAGACCTGTATATATGAGGGAATCTGATTTTACATTTTAAATATTTTTTAAAAAAATTTAAAAATATTATTTAAAATGTTTTTTTTTTATTATCTTTTTCAAAAATACTGGGGTCTTCGACATTGCTGTGGACAATGGGGGATCATGGAGACAAAAAGGCTGAAAACCACTGGTTTAATACCAAGAATGAAAACTATAACCACAACTATAAAATCATTTACATAAATTGTAAAAAAAAATATTTTCAACTGCAAAAGTCACAGGGCCTTTGAATATTGTTGTTGGCAATGGGGGCCGTGGAGTCAAAATGATTGAGAACCACTGTAATTTTAAAAAGCTATAGATTTTAGTCCGGGTAGCAGCATATTTTGACAGCCTTGGAAGCAAGGCTGTGAGGAATAGAACACAGTGTGTTCAATAGATTGTAATGCTGTTTAACAACATAGTGATTGTTAAGCGTCTTTCCTAAACTTTCAGTAGACAAAAACCTCCATAAAACAGTTCTGAAAATTGTGAGTTGTGAAAATGACCTAGGACCTTTATACAGTAGGTTTTGAAAAGACTGTCAATCCCTCACAGCCTCGTTTTCATCCATGTAAAATCCAATATGGTGTCTAACCTGACTAAGGTCTATATGCACACAAATACCATAAAATGGTAACATAAAACCTCCATACCGGGCAATCTTCCAGAAACTGCCCTGGTGAGGTGATGTCCTCTGGGGGATCCCATGAACTCTGACCTGACACAGGGTTGAAGAAGTAATGCCTGCCAGTATTCTGATCCAGCACCTTCTCCCAGTCCGAGCTCCACCTCTGAGGAGAAGGGACTAGGGGCGAGCTGATGGGAGACTGGGGGAACGAGGGAGGAGAACGGACCTCCTCTGTCCCCACTGATGACTCCATGGAGTAGCTAAGCGGATACTCCCAGGTGCTGAGGCCCGTAGAGGGGTGGAAGTAGTAAGCTTGCCCGCTCTGGTCGTCAGTATGGATCTCCCATCCTGCAGAGTCTAACAGAAGGGTATCGGGAGCGTCCGGGAACTCCTGTAATGGAGAAGCGATGGTACTGGAGGGGTCAGGGGTACTCCGTCGCACCCGGGGGAGGTTTACGTACACTGCTGTGAGAGCGCTGTCATCCTCTACCTGATGGACAAAAATGACACCAATGAATGCATATACTTAAACAAGGCAGGGGCTGTCAGACTTGATGCCAAAGACACTCAAATATGATGCTCTCTTTGCAAGGAACCAATTTTTAAAATACTAAGGAAGCTATATTTTCATGTATGAAGAGCCATTTAGTGTGTAAGTGTAAGACATTTTTTGTGCAATATCACAAAGACAGCGTTGTTTAAAGAATTAAATAAATAATGTTAATAAAATTTAATGAAATAAAAAAAATATATATATAAAAAAAAGTTTTATTTCAGTTAGTTACCAAAGCAAAAATTCCCACTTTCACTTAGATAAGTGCTATAAAAAAAAAAAAATGTAACTTTATAAAAGCTATATAGATATATTAAGTAAAAGCTAATAAAAATGAAAAAAAAAACTTTAACTACAATAAAACAATAACAGAAAATATTCAAAATCGAATTCAAAATATTAACAAAAACTATACTACTAAATGAATGATACAAAAATAACACATAAAATTAAAATAATAATAATTGACCTTACACTTGTCGTTGTACCAAGCTAAAACAAAATTATTAAAATAAAATTTTAAATGAAAATATTTACTTTCAGGTTGACAGCACATATACGAGTCACTAAATCAAAATTCAGTTATTAAAACTGAATTGAAAATATGAATTAAAAATACATATAAACTGATTTATCTGATTTATAAGTTCTAAAATTACATGCTATAAAATATATTTTTGACACCCATGTTCAGATGCAATAACTGTGTTTCAAGACGATTTCTAGATTTTATTTAAGATATATGTGATAAAATATATGTGATAAAATATATGATATTTTGTAAATACATGCACGCACACACACACACAATACATTTATAAAACATCAGCTTCTTTGTTAAGGATAGTAAAATTAAATGTCAACTGGTCAGAAGCTAAGGATGAAGATATCATATTATACGATCATGAAATGATGTAAATGCTCATCCAACGTTCCAATGTTTATCCAACGAGCAAAACAAATAGTGGATGTAGTGTCTGCTTTCACACCCTCCTCCCACAATCCTCCCCTATGCAAAATGAAGCATGCTCGGAGGGACTCTCCACATCACAAGCAAGAAAAACAAAACCAAACACTCCCTAACATAAGGAACATTCAACACCCACAGCACTGTCAACTGCGCTCTAGAAACACACTTACGTTCAAACTAACACGGTGATTTTGACTAGGCCTGAAGCCTCATGTGCCCGTTACAGAAAGAGAGCACTTCCTGTGTGCGCTGATCTCAGGAAACAGAACAAGAGACGACAGTCGTAAAGAAGAAAACCACAAAGAGATAGTGCAAACCTTTCATCTTTTTGTTTGACCTGTTTACAGATGGCCAAAACCCCGGCAGATAAAGCTCACATGGTCCTGATTAGAGAACGAAGCACGTCTCATCCCACAGATGGACAGTGAATCACTGATAGTTTTTGACTGTGATGCTGTATGTAGTGCTACTGCTGTGATGGACCTTGAGGTTTATATACTAGACCAGTGGTTATGGGACTGATCCCAGAACAAGGCAATCTGTCAACTTAAGGGTTACTGCATGAACTTTCTTTCAGTAAAGACACGTTCATATTGTTATAGTTGTTTGAGGACTCTGCTATTTTCAAACCAAGTTGTAATTTTTCTGAAGAAAATATGAGTGGCGTTTGCCTGCCCTTGTGAAAAAAAGAATACTTTAGCATACTATTAAAACAAGCAATTATTACAGAAATAAAATACTTTAAAAAAGAATATACTTAAGCGTGAACTGAATATAATGTGATGTTATTTGCAACTACAGTAAATGAACATTCATATTAAATGCAACTAGTTAAAATAATACTGCTTTTTTGACCCACTTAAAGGGATAGTTCACTCAAAAATGAAAATTGTCACTATTTACTCACCTTCAAGTTGTTCCAAACTGTATGAATTTGTTTCAGCTGAACTCATAAGAAGATGTTTTGAAGAATATTGGTAACCAGACAGTTGGCTGTAGTGTTTTTTGTTCCCATACTATGGAAGTCAATGGCTACCGTCAACTTTTTGGTTACCTACATTCTGTAATCTTTGGGTGAACTATGCCTTTACGTAGGACTTAAGTACATCTTTATATGTGTTTTCATAATTTTTCTGTCTTTGCAATGTGGTTTAAGTGTACTGCTGAATGTTCTAACAAGCATTTATGGAAAACAAATTTATTTTTGAAAACTTGTATGTCATGTATTTAAATATATTATTAATTACACATTTGTGATGATGACGATGCAATTTAGTGCATTTAAAATACATTTGCTTACAGTAAACACACTACAGTAAAAATTATAATCAAATACTTTGCATGTGTATTAGTATGTAAGCAACCACCAAACAGCCACATAATAATGTGCTAAATACTATTCTGAACACCTTAACAACCACATAGCAACACATTGGCATGGTCAGGCCACTGCACATCCTCGTGAAAAAAGCGCACTTCATCATTTTGAATATGCACGTGTAGTGTACTTAGTGCACAACTGTATTTTTAAGAAACTGTTCTTGCATATAATCAAAGTTCCTTTAAAGGGGGGGTACAACGCTGTTTCATGCATTCAGAGTTGTTTACACTGTTAAAGAGTTGGATTCTCATGCTAAGCATGGACAAAGTTTCAAAAAACAATTTGGACGTATGACTGAGTATTTCTTTGCCAAAAATCTTACTTCCGGGTTCGTACAAGTTTCGGAGAGTTTTTTTCAATGGTGGCTCTTCATGACGTAGACAAGGGTGGAACTCCTTATATGGGCATTTCTCCCAGAAGAGCGCCCGCGCACGCATCAACCAGAGTGAGAGCGAGAGCGAGATCGCACCCATCAACGCGCTTAATCCGGCGGCAGCGCTGCACAGGACTTGCTCAGGAAGAACGTCTCCAATCCAAAGTGTTTTTGGTTGTAAGGGAAATATAACTTTGTTCAGCTTCCTAAAGAACCCAGCGTTATGTAAACAGTAAATAGAGTTTGTTTTTCCACAGTTTGGCATTCGGCGCCCAAGTGCTCGTCACTCTTTAGCTCCGCCCACGGCGCGCCTCCAGGATCTTCTTTTATAAATATGGTAAAACTAAAGACTTTTTGGAGATATGAAGGATGCAGTACTACTCTATATGTACTCAAGATTAACATGAGATTGGGTGAAACTGTGTTATGCCCCCTTTAAGGCAAGTCATGTCACTCGACGGCCATCTTTGAAACGCCTCTCAGGCATGCAAGTGCAGCTCCTATCTCTTTGAATGGGGAAACATCAAATTCTCCAAAACTGGTCGCCAAGCATACGATTGCATTTCATATTTGAAATCACCAATGAAATCTGACAACAACTGTATCATAAATGTTGTTTATTTTGCTCAAATAGCATTAAAAAAGCTTATTTCTCAGGCATGCGCAGTCCTAAGCAGAACGCTGACTGTTTCTATAGAAACCGGGACTTCTAACAGCAGCTGCAGTGATGCGCTGACTTTACGAATTAGCGATTGGCTCTTTTGCTCAGAAGGCGGGGCTTCGTTCGATAGCGCGGCCGCCGTATTGAGCATTGCATTTTTCCCCATTCAAAACTATACGAGTGACGCGTCTTGGGTATTCTATAGTCTTTGATATAATGCAGTGTTAATGAAATAAAAGGCCACTTAAGTGATCTTAAAGAGAGTATTTCATAACACACTTAACTGCACTTTTAAAATGTGCACTTTGCAATAATGTACATTTTTAATTTTCATTTGTAAATCGTGTTCCAATAATCTTTTGCTGCAATTTAAAGTACACTTATTTTTTGGTTAACTGGCTTAAGTCTCTATGATATTCTGGTCTCTAAAGGCTGGAATACACTACATGATTTTTGCCCAGATTTTTCCCTGATTTATAGTGTGGAAGTGTTGATGCTAGCTGCCAAAAGTCATGGCCAGTCTGCAGATTTGAACTGACAGACTTCATAGAAAATCGTGTATAGTGTATGATGGTCACAGACTCCGATTTTTTAGCTTCAGACTTTGATTCCATCCAGTCATCCATATCAAACATGTTTGATATTTTGAGCTGATTTTAGAACATTTATTGTTTTCATTTGACATGCAACAAGGCACATGTTTTTCTGTGAGTTTGTTGTGATCAGAACAACTTTAAAGTCTGCTAGAGTGTGATCCTCTTTTAGCACAATTTATGGTGTCATTCATATGCTTATGCATGTTGCAAAAGCGGTGCATTTACAGACATTTACTAGGGGTTTGCTCAAATACTTAACTGTTAATTGAAAATGAATAATAGGCTTTAGTTTGCTCTTAAGCTTCCTTTATCCACCAGTGCTCAACAGGGATTGCAAAATAGTTTTTCACCACCCAGTACATGATACGGAAGAACCCATGAAGTTCCCTGTGCATGCGAGTGAAGATGGCTGTGGAATAGATGTTTATATGCTTACTGTGGTACTGAGCTCACCTTTAGCCTCGAGAGAGGCCTGTACGAGGACACACCTCTCCTGAGAAACGTCTGTGAGAGAGAGAGACAGACACAAAGACAGAAAAAGATACAGAAGAGCAAGAGTGACAATCGAAGCACAACGGAAATAAAAGCTAGCGTGCCGGCACGTCACATCCTGGGTCTATATTTACCAGCCTTTGGTGCAGACCAAGCCTGTCTCTCAGCCACAAGTGCCAAAATGCATCAACTGACAGGAAACAGCTTTATTACTATAATCATCACAAACAATAGCCGCACAAATACACCCACCATATGAAGCACTGAAGAAGAACAAGAGTGATCAAGATAGGGATGGTTCACCTAAAAATGAAAATGCAGTCAAAATGCTATTTACTCACCCAGCATAAACCATACCTGTGCAAACCCACATGACTTTCTTTTTCCGTGGAATACGAAAGGAGAAGTGTTTAAATACTGGCCACTATTTTCCATGTTATGAAAGTGAATGGGGATCTGGGTTGTTAGGGTCAAAAATGAACAATCAATATGACCTATATTCTAAGTTTCAATAACTTTGTGTGATAAACAGACAGAAATTTAAGCCTTCATTATTAGTTAAGTTAAAAGTTGCAGTTGTCTTTTCTTCTCTGTTGTGACACACTACTTGTAGACAAGTTAAATATCCTGCATTTCTTTGATTAAAAATACAGTAAAAACTGTAATATTATGAAATATTATTAATATTTAAAATAACTGCTTACTATTTGAATCTATTTTCAAACATAATTTATTCCTGTGATGCAAAGCTGAATTTTCAGCATCATTACTCAAGTCTTCAGTGTCACATGATCCTTCAGAAATCATTCTAATATGCTGATTTATTAACTCAACTTAACATTATCAATGTTGAATACAGCTAGCTATACCATCCAAAGTTTGGGTAAGTAATATTAAAAGATTAAATTAATACTTTTATTCAGCAAGGATGCATTAAATCGATCAAAAATGACAGTAAAGACATTTATAATGTTACAAAATATGCAAACAAATGCTGTTCTGTTGAACTTTCTCTTCATAAAAGTATCCTGAAAAAAGTTAATCTCAGTTTCCACAAAAATAATAATCAGTTTTCCACACTGATAAGAACCATTATTAACTATCGAGCACCAATAATAACTGCTAATAACTGAGCACCAGATCAGCATATTAGAATGATTTCAATTCAATCGATTCCCAGTTTGGTGCACCTTTAATTGACCTTGATAGCCTGGATCCCCATTCACTTTCATCCTATGAAAAAGAGCGTCCAGCACATTCTTTAACATTTAACCTTTCGTGTCCACAGAAGTCATGCAGGTTTCAAACAACATGAGGGTATGTAAATGATGACAGAACTTTCATTTTTGGCTGAACTATCCCTTAGTTAATCAGTTTAAAGCAAAGGGAGTGATGAAATCCCCAGCCTTAGATGTATGCCATCCTTTTGTGAGATAAATTTAGATGATCTGAATGCGCTGGCCAACAGAGACAGCCACACAACCTGTATAAGTCATTGTACAAGTAGGCTAACTGAGAGGAAAAAAGAGAAAGAAGCAGTGGATGTATAGGGAGAAGCCTATAAAGCAGGAACTAGACACAGTGTGCAGTTCATCACATTATGGAAGCTTGGAACGATGCAGACTGAGCAATTCAACAAACCTTCCTTTTTTCTGATCAGAACTGCAGAGATGCTAAAGGTCAACTGTCTTGCAGCTGCTGTGTTTTAAAGAGTTTTACAAAAACCTGATGATACACTTGACCTTGATGATGTTTAACAATTGCATTTGAGATATCTACGCCCGAGAGTGTCTCAACAGGAAGAAACCACATCCTAACTGAGAACAACACAACTGAAGCACACTTACATGCAAAATCCACCTAATGCGCAACATTGAAACACTACCTAGTGATTTTAATGCACACTGCTCATACGTATATAGACACTATGTGTGTTACATATTGAACCATCAAGCCAATTCATTACTTTTTTTACACATCAAAGTGACAACAAAAAGCATTTCCGTGCTCAGAAACCCAATCTTAATGGGTTGTGGACGTACCTGTGTGTTCAGAGAGAGAGGCATTGCACTTCTGGGTCGGTGGTTGGTCCGAATCTTAGCGTAGAAATCCACCATGTCTTTGTTTAGATCAGTCAGTACAGCTGATCAGAAACAGTCAAACTCTAAGTTATCCAACAGCGAGCATCATAGTGAACAAGCTGACCCTGAGTCGCACACACACACACACTCATACAAACATATACACCCCCTGTGTCCGTAGCAGATGTTGCCACTAATGAAAATCAGTCTTGAAGTGCTACTCTGCTAGAGTAAAAGGGGGAGGGGCAAATAAAGAGAACAGACGGATGGAGAGACGGAGGCAGATATGACCGTATGAATATGTTAAGATATGTAAAGAGACAATGGGTCAAAAAAACAGTGGTGTGTAATTGCTTGATTTCAGGTAACTTTGCAGACATAAAAATCTTGTCAAGTATTTTCAAGTCTGAATTGTTTCACTTTTTCCTCATCGAAACGGAACTTAGTCAAAGTCACTGAATTGAGTACATTTCCTCAGTTTCCTCAAAATTCTACATTTTGACCGTAACACCTCTGACAGCCAGAAGAAAAAAAAGACACATGCTTGCATTTCTCAATGAACAATACAGAATTGCTCAGTGGTTGGTCTTTTATAACTCAGTTTAAAGTGAAGATGAAAAAAAAATCTATGACTTTAGTTTTTTTCCTAAAACATGTTCTTGGTCTTACTGATCCCGAATCATTGGTGCATGTTATTCTAAAGAAATCTTTATCTTTCTTCAAAATGTATGAACTTGAAACAAACTTTCCTTTCCCTATGATTTTGTAATAATTTCAAATAGCCTGCACGGGCGACTAGTGTTCAAATAGCCATTCAGTCGTTATTTCTGGTATGCAACACCCACTTTTCATATTACAGTCAATTCCCAATGGATTCAAGTCTCATCATGCTATTTTTCTTGTTTAATATCCTCTTTCACTTGTAAATGTGATACTGTGTCAATGTGAATCTATGTCATTATGGAAGTAAAATTGGAAAATAACAAATTTTCTGACAAACTAATCAGCTTTCTCTGGGATATATAAATAGACATGATTCTTGATAAGTAGCAAGAGTTTATAGCTATAAAATAAATAGCGTGAATATGAGAAACACCAAGTTCATATTAGGATCTCTAACTTTTTATAGACTTGAGAGTAGACTTGTAGATATCTTGAGATACCATTACACCGTAGTTTTTATAAATATTTTGAATTAGCTTTCATTTTTATATTTTTGGTTTTAATTTTCATTTTTTAGTAATTTTTAGTTTTAGTAATTGTGCATCTTTTTTATAATTTTTTTGACTGTCTATATAGTTTTTATTTATTTAGGCTTAGTTTTTTTCAGCACATAAAGGTAAATGAAAAGGAAAAATATTGCCTTGGCAACTACCTAAAATAATTTTACGTTATTTATTGTTATATATCAATTGACGTTTATAGTAAAACTTTTTATGGTTTTAGTTTACAAAATAACCCTGACTTGAGCACATTTAGAGACAATGTTGAGATCTCTTCTGACGTATGTGTGAAATTACTGGAGAATTTTGAAATAGTCAAATAGCCATTCAGTCGTTATTTCTGGTATGCAACACCCACTTTTCATATTACAGTCAATTCCCAATGGATTCAAGTCTCATCATGCTATTTTTCTTGTTTAATATCCTCTTTCACTTGTAAATGTGATACTGTGTCAATGTGAATCTATGTCATTATGGAAGTAAAATTGGAAAATAACAAATTTTCTGACAAACTAATCAGCTTTCTCTGGGATATATAAATAGACATGATTCTTGATAAGTAGCAAGAGTTTATAGCTATAAAATAAATAGCGTGAATATGAGAAACACCAAGTTCATATTAGGATCTCTAACTTTTTATAGACTTGAGAGTAGACTTGTAGATATCTTGAGATACCATTACACCGTAGTTTTTATAAATATTTTGAATTAGCTTTCATTTTTATATTTTTGGTTTTAATTTTCATTTTTTAGTAATTTTTAGTTTTAGTAATTGTGCATCTTTTTTATAATTTTTTTGACTGTCTATATAGTTTTTATTTATTTAGGCTTAGTTTTTTTCAGCACATAAAGGTAAATGAAAAGGAAAAATATTGCCTTGGCAACTACCTAAAATAATTTTACGTTATTTATTGTTATATATCAATTGACGTTTATAGTAAAACTTTTTATGGTTTTAGTTTACTAAAATAACCCTGACTTGAGCACATTTAGAGACAATGTTGAGATCTCTTCTGACGTATGTGTGAAATTACTGGAGAATTTTACTCAGGATAAAAATCAGAGAAGCAGGGGACTTAATGCATTTCCATTAACTTCTTATTTCTGTCTAAGAGAATTACAATAGATACTATAGAATTCAAGATGTTTCTTTTCTATAGATTTTATTCTATACAATTGAATGTGTTTTAGAATAAAAATTAAAGCTGCAATGAAACTGAAATAGCAACAGATCTTATCTACCATATTGTAATGTACATCTGAGTGTAACTACAGTTCTATAAGAACATGCATTTACAATAGATAGGGTGACTTTCCATTTCATGCCGACTTTAACAATATATTTAGATTCAAGTGTAAATCAACACAGGTATACAAGCCTTAAAAAGCTGATGGACAGGCAAAACAATGTGTATTTTAAATGCCATGATGTGGTGGCACGATAAAGAACAGAGGACAAGGGTCACTGTGTTGAGCTGAGCAACATTTCAACTGGGAACGTTTAGCGATGTTTAAAGCAGGAAATATGTTTAGGATACGCAGGGGGAATTACTCAACTTCTGTACATCCAAGCAGTCAGACAAGCAGGACAACAGCTTCCTCGTCTGAAATCCAATCTTTGCCAATTTTAAATAACAGTGTTTTCCCTGACTGTGGTTGAGAAGACACAGAGATCCTACAGTCTGGATATCACACCTATGATCAAACT